GCTGAACGTGGTCAACCTGACGTGCTCTGAGCACGTCGTGCCTCGGGTGATCCAGGTCGAGATAGCCGTCGAGAACAACCCGCGCCACCCGGACTTCAGCGGGTTGGAGGATGTGTTGGCTAGGCCGAGTTCAGCGAGCGGCTCGGCCCACGTGCCGAGGCACCTCGAGCACCATGCCAACCGCCAGAAGGACCGCGCCCAGATCCTCAAGCAGCAGAGGCTCTACCAGGAGGAGGCGACGAAGCGGCGGAGCGTGAAGGGCGACGGCAAGGGCGAGACAGGTGACGGCTCACGGGCCGAGCAGAAGGCGAAGGTAAGAGAGGGCCCCCCTCGGCTGGCGCCGAGGGGGGGGGGGGTGACTGCGGTGCCTGCGCAGTGGGCTTGGCCGGGCCCGCGTCTGGCATGCGCCGCCGTCCTGGAGTCGGCGAGCTGCCGCAGAAGCATTGGTGGCCGGGCGGCCACTGGCTCCACAACGACCCGTTCCCGCCCCCCGCACAGCGCATGGAGGGGCGGCCGACGGGGGCAGCCAGGTCCACGGCGCGCAGATGGCACCACAGGGCCAAGAAGCCAGAGCGGGTTAGAGAGACGGTTGAGGCGCTCAACCACTCCGCTGCTTCCAATGCGAATTCGATTGATGGCAAGGTTCATCGCGCGCGTCCGCGAGGGGGGGGCCGCCGACAGCGGCCCAAACGAGTGCCCTGGCTCACGCGTCTGCGGGAGTCAGTGGCTATGGCGAACCCCCTCGTGAAGCGACGGATGGTGAGCGGTCTCGGTCTCTTCTGGCGATCCTCAAGTCTGCCGACCAGTGCGAACTGGAGCCGCGGCACCTGGCGAGCTACGACCCTGACAAGCACATCGCGTCCGGCGCGCTGCGGCCCGTCCCTGCGTCGGCCTTGCCCCCAGAGGCTGCTGCTGGCTACTTGAAGCATTCCGAGAGCCAGGTGGAGCTGACCGCGCCGGAGCTGGAGGCTCGGCGACAGATCGCCGGAGGGCTCCCGACACCTAACTGGGGCCCAGCCCTCCGCGGAGATTGGTCGGCTCGTTGTGATTTTTTCCCGCCGGCTGGCGGCGGCTGGAGTTGCGGGATTCCTCGGGGCAATGAAGAGCCGCTGTGGAGCTTTTTCCGCGCGCAAGAAAGATGGTCGCATTCGTTTCACTTGCGATGCTCGCCAGGCGAATCTCTGCCGCAGACGGCCCCCACGGACAGTACTCGGCGGCCCCGCCTCACTGAGCGAGCTAGACCTCAGCCCGATCGCCGAGGCCCTCGGCGGCTACGGCGGGGCGTTGGAGCTGCCCCATCGACCTCCACGCGTCGAGCGCGGACGTGAAGGACTGCTTCTACCAGTTCGAGGTGGAGGGCATCGCGAGCTGGTTCGGCTTCGACTGCCCGCTGACCGTGGAGGAGCGGGGCACGGCGATCTCCCGCGTCTACGACGACGACTTCAAGAGGCCCACCCCAGTGCAGGCAGGAGAGTTGCTCTACCCTGCCATGCGGGCGCAGCCCATGGGGTGGTCGTGGGCCCCCGGCTTCGCGCGGGAGGCCGTGACCACGCTGGCCGAGCGCGGGTGCCCAGGGGGCAGCGAGCAGCTGCTCCAGGACAAGTGCCCCGTCCCCCTCCTTCGGCCTGGGCGTCCGGTCAGCGCCGTGTGCGTGGGCGACTTCACGAGCCTGGGCGGCTGCGGGGAGGGCGCCGCCTTCGGGGTGAGGTGCTTCGAGAGGGCTGCCGCGGGCGCGGGCCTGAAGCTCCATGAACCCGAGGTCGCGCTCACCGAGCTCGAGTCGCTCGGGCTCGTGATCCACGGGGCCGACAAGAAGCTCAGGCACACGCCCCATTGGGTTTGGCGGTTCCACTTCGGGGCCAAGGAACTCCTCCGGCGCGGGCGCTGCGCGCCCGCCGAGCTGCGGGCTTGGGCCGGGCACGCTGTCCACCTCTTCCCGCTGCAGCCGCTGCTGCTGTCCATCTTGCAGGGCGCGTGCACCTTCATCGGGGGCGGCCTCGGAGCTCGGCGCCCTCTGCCTCGCGGAGTTCGGCTCGAGCTGCGCCTGGCCGCCGCGCTGGTCTTCTTTGGGGACGCGAACTTGGCGGCTCCCTACGACGACGAGGTGCGCGTCTCAAACTCGTCGACGGGCGGCCACTGCCTGATGCACGGGCGGAAGCCGACTCGGGCGGTCCGAGACGCCTGGCGGCGGCGAGAGCGATGGCGCTTCGTGGAGGTGGAGGCGGAGCGTGGCGACGCCCACTACACCAGCGCCCACCTGGCGCAGCTGCGGGGCCTTCCACCGGACGACGAGCTGGAGATCCCGAAGTTCGCGGACGTGCAGCTGCGTGCCGGACGGTCGACGGGCGCTTGGTTCTCGACCGAGCTGGGCCAGCTCGCCTTTCGCAAGGTGGGCCAAGCTCGGCGTCGGCAGGGCTGCAGCGCTGTGGGCGGCCGGCACCGCCAAGAGGTCGAGCTCCTGAATGCGGCCCCTTAAGCTGCCAGTGGCGCTAACCCGCGACGAGGGCTGGCGGCGCGCGGCGGCTGGGCGGCGGCAGCGCCCGGAGGAGCACATCAATATCAAGGAGGCGAAGGCGTGTGTCATAGGGTTGCGCAGGAGCTGCCGCGACCCTCGACATCGCGGTCATCGGGTCCTCTCGCTGTGCGACAACATAGCGACGTGCTGCTGCCTGGGCAAGGGGCGCTCGGCCTCTAGGGCGCGGAACGCGTAGTGCAGGCGGGCCGCCGGCTACGCGCTGGGTTGCGGGATCCGGCGGCGAGTCCGCCACGTGCCGACCGACCTCTGCGCGGCCGACTACGGCTCGAGGCCGCGCGAGCCACCTGAGCCCAAGTGGTTGTGCGCGGCGAAGGCCTGCCGCCAGGCGGTGGCGCCCTGGGGGCCCGCGCGCCCTCCTCCAGCCCCTTCGAAGCCCTCGAGTACGACCTGATCAGAGCCTACAGAGCACGAGCACGAGACTCCCCACATCCCCTCCTCAGCGTCTTCCAGACATTCTAGCCCAGCTGGCCTACTCGCCCTGCGGGTCGAGACGGCTCTCGCGCGCAGCGTCGGGGGCCGATCAGCGTCGGCCGAGGCCGGACATGCTCGCGAGCCAGAGTCGGCAGAAGTCTTTTTGGAGCTCTTCTCGGGCACTGGGGGCCTCAGTCAGGCGCTTGCATCTGCGGGCCTACGAGTGGGCTTCTCGTTTGACATCCGGAAGGGCGCTCAGCATGGTCTATCTCGTCGAGCTACCCAGCTACTGGTGCTGAAGTGGTTGCGATCCGGGAGAGTCTGGGGAGTTCACTTGGGCACGCCTTGTAGTTCCTGGGGCATAGCTAGGAAGGCCGCGAGGGATCTCAGACGCGCTCGAGCAACGGAACGGTAAGGGGTAGAGCTTACGTTGTTCACGAGCGAGGTGGTCCGTGCTTGTCAGAGGTGCAACATCCTGTGGTCCATCGGGAATCCTGCGTCGTCGGGGTTGTGGAGCTCCCCTCCGGTCGGGGGCCTGGCTGGGCTGGCTGGGGCTCGCTGGGTGATGTTCCCGATGTGCGCCTACGGGGCCCCGCGCCAGAAGTGGGCGGCGCTGCTGACCAACGCGCCCACGCTGGCATCGCTGGCGGCGGAGTGCACGCACACACCTCTCATCCTCACCTCTCGGGTCGAGTTAAAGTCGCAGATGATCGGGGAAAGGTCAGATGGGTCCGCCTGGCGGAGCTGGCGGGGGCGTGTCCGTCGGCTCTCTGCTCGAGCTGGGCTGCGAGCCTGGCCAAGGCGGCCCCCGCCACGGCTTTCGGTTCCTCTCCGCCGTTTGTGGAGGCATGGGCCTGCGAGCTGGAGGCCCTGGCACCGCGACGGCGTCGCGGCGCCGCTGAGGGCGATGCTCGGCCGGCTGACGCGGCAGCGGGCGGCGACGCGAGCTGTGCCCGGGCCGACCGCCACCTCGCGGAGCACTGTGTCCTCTTTGGGAACACCAGCGCGGTCGAGCGGGCGGCCCTCCGAGCTCGCAGAGACGCTCTCGACCCGCCGAGCTGGTAGCGGCCGGGCGCCGGCTGCCCGGCGGCGGCGCGCGCCTGTCGCCGAGGCCGCCGCCCGGGCCCGCCGCGCAGCCGCTGCAGGCCGCTCGCGGGCAGACTACCTCAAGCTGAAGGGCGTGTCGGAGGCCGCCCTCGCGCTGCACAGGAATGTAGTTGATGAGTTTGAATCATGGCGCCGGTCGAACGGGCTCCAGAGCAACAACCTGGTCAATGTAGATGCCAACCTCGTTGACTGGATGACAGAGCTATACTTCGCCGGGCTGGGGCTGGCCTCTGGTCGCAACGGGCTATTCGGGTGCCTGCTGCTGCGCGGGGGCAACCGCGCGTCTGGGGTCGGCCGGGTTCGGCTCCCACGAGCTCGACGGGAGCTCAAGGGTTGGTGCAAAAGCGACCCAGGGGCCGTGGGCGCGCCCCACCCGCTCCCGGTGCGCTGGCAGCTCGCAGAGGCCTTCCTTGCCGACGGCGAGCCGAGGCTGGCGGCACTCGCGGTGATCCAGACGGACTGCTACCTCCGACCTTCGGAGGCGCCGGCGCTCAGGCCCGAGGACGTGCTGGTCGGCTGCGCCGACGCTGGGGCCGAGTGCGCAGGGAAGGTCGTGCTCCACCTCGCCCCGGGCGACCGCGGGCGCCCGACCAAGACGGGCATCTTCGACGACGCCGTCGAGGTCGGCGTGGCCGGACGGGGCTGGGTCATGGACGTGGCCGCGACGCTGGCCCGATGCACTGGGCCCAGCTGCCGGCTTTTCCCTCTTCACCCTGTCTCAGTATGAAAAGAGTTTCAGTCGCGTCCTGACACGCTTCGGCCTCTCTTCTTTAGGCGGCTCGCCCCACTGGCTGCGTCATTCAGGCCCCTCCAACGATCGTTTCAATAAAGTCTTGGATCTCCTCGCCATTCAGAAGCGAGGCCGATGGGCGGCCTTCAGATCTGTCACCAGATATGAGGAATCAGCTGACTTGCTGACACAGCTGTCAAAGATGAACCGAAGCAATCAGCAGAGCGCAAAGCGCGCGGCCTCCTCTTTACCTCGGGCCCTTTCGCACTTGCTCCAGCAGTTGCGGAAGCCAGCGTCCTGCAAGTTCTTGCCTGCGGCCGCAGCTCCCAGACCCAAAAGGGGGTTCGGGGGCACGGGCGTGTGATCTCGCACCGTAGGCGCTCGAGGCGCCTCTTGATTTTCCAGTGTTGCGAGACTAGCGGATCGATCCAGCTGCACCCTTGACCTTTGGAGTCAGCGTCGCAGTGAGAGTCACCGTCGGCCGCGAGGCGGCCGCTCTTCTTGCATGAGAAAAAGAAAAGGCCCAGGGCTCTGGTAAAGCGGCTCCAGCGGGCCCCGTAAGTCTTGTTTAAACACATCGGGTCTATGTTCTAAGAACATCGCTTTTGTTAATAAAACATTTTTGTTAATTCGCCGGCCCAACGGGCCAGGGCGTGCTAAGATCTCCGGTAACTGGTTAACAGTATTAACAGTATTTCTAGTTCGCGCGCGCGGGGCGGCCCCTGGGGGTCCCCCGGCGAAAAGTACCCCGACCAACGCCCGACCGCCGCCCGACCGCCGCCCGACCGCCGCCCGACCAAGTCTACTCAGAGATGGTTTCCCTTCTGGGTGCGGCCTCTCAGGCTCCCCAGAGCGCGCTCAGAGTGCCCGAAGAGGCCCCCAAGACTGCCCAAGAGGCCCCCGAGACGCCCAAAGAGCGCTCGAAGACGCCGAAGATGACCCCAAGACGGCCCAAAAGGCCCCCAAGACAGCCCAAGAGGCCTCCAAGACGCCCCAAGAGCCTTCCAAGAGGCCTCCGAAGAGAGCCCCAAGAGGCCAACATCGTTGATTTTCATTGGTTTTTTCAATGTTTTTTGTGTTCTGGCTTTTTCGGCTTCCGGACGCTCCAAGACGGCCCAAGAGGCCCCCAAGACCGCTCCAAGACGGCCCACGAAGCTCCCAAGACGGCGCCGAAACGACCCAAGAGAGCCCTCAAGACGGCCCAAGTGCCGCCCAAGACGGACCAAGAGGCCCCAAGACGGGCCCAAGAGGGACTCAGGAGGGATACCGAGAACTCAAAAATGGAGCCCTCCGTCCCAGAAGGCGCCCAGGAGGTCCCAAAGAGGCCCCAAGAGGCCTCCAAGAGGCCCCAAGATGTCGCCAAGAGGCCCCAGGAGACTCCCAGGAGGCCCAAAAGAAGCCCCAGAAGGCTTCAAACATGTCTCCCAGGCGCCCCCGAACGGCCTCTCAACAGACCCCAAGAGGCCCCCCAAAGAAGCATCTTGACGACGACTCTATTTCGCCCCATCGAGAGACGACCCCCAGGGAACTGCTTCACCATCAAAACTCCCCACGCAACGCGTCCGAACGACACCCGCCCCCAAGAGCGCAACATGGGCAACGAACACACAGACAAAAACCAACGATGCCATATCACGGGCCGGCGGAATGAGCGAAGCGATTCAATAAAACATTTTTTGGGTTCTAGAAACATTTCGTGATAGGACTGTAGGAATGCGGGACGGTCGGTCTCTGCTCAAAGCAGAGCGGCGGCTCGGCAGCGGCGTCCCGCATGCTTCTCCGGCGGCGCAACCACGCTCGGAACAAGGCGGCCAGACACGCGGCGCCAAGGCGCGGCTCTGTTGGGATCCAGCACAGCATGCCCTGCCCTAGGGTTAGGTCGGGCCTGCCCCTCTACAGGAGAAAAATCCAAAAATGGTTAAAATTATCCCGGCAAAGCAACCTAACAGCGATGTGTAGGAGCATATATGGAAGCATTCCCCTTAAGATTCAGATGAGAATCCAGTTGTAGAGTTCTGCTGTTCTCGCAGTCGTAGTCGCATTCGCGATGACAGTCGCAGTGGCAACGGCAGTCGCAGTCACAGCCTCAGCCTCAGCCTGCCTCAGCCTCAGCCTCCGCCTGCCTCAGCCTCAGCCTGCCTCAGCCTCAGCCTCAGCCTGCTTCAGCCTCAGCATCAGTCTGCCTTCAGCTTCGGCCTCAGCCTCAGACTGCCTCAACCTCAGCCTGCATCAGCCTCAGCCTCAGCCTCAGCCTGCCTCAGCATCAGCCTGCCTCAGCTTCAGCCTCAGCCTCAGCCTGCCTCTGCCTCAGCCTCAGCCTGCTTCAGCCTCAGCCTCAGTCTGCCGTCGGCCTCGGCCTCAGCCTCAGCCTGCCTCAGCCTCAGCCTGCATCAGCCTCAGCCTCAGCACGAAGCAACCCAGCTAGAAGGACAAAGCGCTGAATGTACACCGATGTGTTCGACGACTGCGTATGTAATGATGTGACGATATACAGACTGAGCCCTTCGTGAATGTCTACATGTTTTTCTGACGCCTACAAACGGCGCTGACGTGTGTGAGAAAATTGTCCGCGCAGCAAAAGCCGGCGAAGCGTGCAGACAGCCAGCTGCAAAAGGTTGCGAGCGGCTCTTGGAAGACGTTTACGGAACGGAGCTACGGTGTCTGAAAACATTGGCATCGAAGCGAAGAGCCTCGGAGCCCTGCAGCCTGAGAAACACCGCAGGAACTCGCATACTGAAAAGGAATGCATTGCAAACCGCACGTTGCGAACCCTGCAGGCTGAGAAGCACCGCAGGATGTCGCATGCTGAAAAGCACTTGTACTGCAGAGCGCAGGCTGCGAAACCTGCAGGCTGAGAAGCACCGCAGGAACTCGCATGCTTTCGAACACTACTGCTCGAGACCGCAGCTGGAGAGCGGCAGACCGCAGGCTGAGAAGCACCGCGGGCAGAGAGACTTGCAAAACTCAGATGTCCTGATCGTCTTGGAGGAAGTCACGCCAGTCCGGCGGCTGCCAAGAATCGATGATGCGCCTGGAGCCACCGCCCGTGCTGCCGCCGATGTCCAGGTAGTCGCCATCGCCCCTGAACAGACGGCCGTGCCCGCACGCCAGAATCGCTTGGTTGCGGATTTGAAGCAGCGCTCCGCTCTCAAACATCTGCAACACGTCCTGCTGCCTGCGCGTGAAGTTCGGCTTTGCCTGGCCAGCCTGGGCAGACAGATGGAGGGAAAGCCGCTCCCCCTCGTTGTAGCGCGCGATGGCCTCGGCCTTCTGGTGGTGCAGCCGGCGCCGCTGTTGCCGCAGAGCTTCCTCGGGAACTGCTGCATCACGGCCCTCACTGTGATCAGCTTGCAACGCTTGCGTTAACCAATCAACGTCGAAGCGCCCTGAGAAGGCCAGCACCTCCCAGATCTGTTTAGTACCGGCCACACGTTGCAAATGGCGATGCCACCGCTTACGCTTCTGGTCTTTCACAAACTTGGCGACGCTACCCAGACCTGCACCCTTGGCCTGGCCACCTTTTCCCGCAGGCTGAGAAGCACCGTGAGAACCTTTCTTACCGCCTGGCCCTTTGTTCGGACCCTGCGGAACCGCATGGCCCCCTTGTGGCGCAGACTTGCCTTTCGCTTTTCCCTTTTCGATATCCCGTTCCTGAAGCGCACGCTGCTGCCGCGACTGCTCGTACTGGTCGCGAGCTACTCTGACCAATTCCTGGCGCTCAGGCTCCGTGAGAACGTAGCGCATGTCGTCGATGTTCTTGCTCCGCAGAAAGTCATGTCGAAGCTTAAGGACAGAGAGAATGGCTCGGCCAGTCTCCTCCTGAGACGCAAAGGCCGTGTCATATTCCGAGCCAGGCTGAGGAGCGCCAGCTGGATCAGTGTCCGCTGGCTCCGTGGACTTCCTCTTTTTGAAAAGCAAGAGACTGAGATGATGGAGGACTTTCGGATCGTACTCCTCGTCGTACCTGTCGTCCCAAAGCTGCCTCAGCTCCCTGTGCAAGTCGTCCGCGCGATTCTGAACGACATCCTCGACGTAGTCGGGATCACCCGGTGAAGTCGGTGAAAGCGGAGGAGCAGAACTCGGCGACCGATCCCAATGCACAGAAGACTCGCGGTCCGCCTGTACGCTGACGTCGGCGTCGGAGACGTTTTCGACGACAATTTTCCGCCTCTTGCTCTCCCCAGGCTGAATAGCACCAGGGAGAGTGAGCACAACCGCCACCGCATCGTGTGCGTCGTTGCGCATGCCACGATCCGTAAAAGACGCGCCAACGGCAATGGAGCAGAAACGGGCGACTGCTCCGCAGACCGCGACGTGGTCGCCTTTGAGGTCGGCCGGAGTGGCATGGACCTCCCATACCTTCTCGTCGTTCTGCTCGCGCTGGTAAGCCTCCCGCGCCTCCTGGAAAGTGAGGTTGTCGTCGCCGACTACAAGCACAACGACTGCCTCGTTTAGATTCTCAAGAATCTTGGCCAGGCCGTCCAGGTGCAAGCGGAGATGGCGAACTGTCCGCTTTCGAGTCTGGATGCTCGGCGGTTTCTTGCCGCACACGATGTGCATGTTGGCGATCACCACGTGGAACTTGTCATGGCCTGGTTTGTTCACCTCAAAATGTGAAATAACAGCATCAATATCTCGGCCGCTAGGAGGCCTGTAAACTTTGCTGTCTTCGCACAGAGTCAGTTCCGCAGGCTGAGAAGCACCGCGGAACCCCCAGAGAGTCAAGTAGTTGTCGACCTCCAAGAAGCGAATGCCATCACCGAAAGGCTTACTGAGGATCTCTGTCACGTTGATCCCTGCTCGGCGAAAGCCTTCACGGAACGCACCGACCTCGCAGCCACAGACCATATCAGCATCAGCGGTCTCCACTATCTTGGCGCACAACCTTCCGAAGTTAGCGCAGTGAGTGGCCGCCTGCTTACCAGTCATCATGCCCTGCTCGAACCCGAAATTGAACGAGGCGACCGTGAAAGACGCAGGCTGCACAGCGCCAGAACCAGGCGTCTGTCCACCTTCCTCCGCAGGCTGAGAAGCACCGCGAGGCGGCGCAGGCTGAGAAGCACCGCGAGGCGGCGACACTTCGGACGAGCCTCGCGGAGCAGAGGCTGCGGATGAACGTTGGACATGGGGGTACGGCCAGGGGAACGCCATTGCAATCAAAACTCAGTGGACTGCAGTGAATGAATGTAGTGGCCAATTGAATGCAGAGGACTGCAGTGTCACTAGCAAGTCCTGAACCAAACACAGCTGTGGCGGAAGGAATATGAAGCGTCTGGCTATTCAAAATGTTGCCCGGCAATGGAGTTCTGGGAACTCGAAGACCAGGAAGTGGACTAGAGTTGGCTCTGGGCATCCAAAATGTAGCCCAGGAATGGAGTTCTGGGAACTCGAAGAGCACGAAGTGGCTTACAGTTGGCTCCGGGCATCCAAAATGTGGCCCGGGAATGGAGTTCTGGGAAATGGAAGAACACGAAGTGGCCTACAGTTGGCTCCGGGCATCCAGAATGTGGCCCGGGAATGGCGTTCTGGGATGTCGAAGAGCACGAAGTGGCCTACAGTTGCATCCGGCCCCCCAGAATGTGGCCCGGGAATGGCGTTCTGGGATGTCGAAGAGCACGAAGTGGCCTACAGTTGCATCCGGCCCCCCAGAATGTGGCCTGGGAATGGAGTTCTGGGAAGGCGAAGAGCACGAAGTGTGTGACTGTTGGTGAAAAACGAGCCCGGTTCATGCCGCCCGGAAACGCCCCAACACCTGCCCGGACCCCCCTGTGGAGTGATCTGTGAGCTCTTTTGACACTACTAGAAACCTATCAGTCTTCGCTGTTAGGTAAAATAGTCAGGGGGCACTTTTGGGACTATTGTTGAGTAAGTTGGGGCATTTTTTGAGTATTGCGAGGCCTTACGGCTGGTGCCGCCGACCCTGCAGACGGAGACGACGAGCAGGACAAGGACGTTGAGGAGCAGGGGGCGGAGGACGTCAGGGAGCAGGAGGGGGGAGGAGGAGGAGGAGGAGGAGGAGGAGGAGGAGGAGAGGAGGAGGAGGAGGAGGAGGAGGAGGAGGAGGAGGAGGGGAGGAGGAGGACGAGGAGGAGGAGGAGGAGGAGGAGGAGGAGGAGGAGGAGGAGGAGGAGGAGGAGGAGGAGGAGGAATAATACGAATGCGAATACGAATGCTAATAATAATAATATTAAGAGTGAACATAATAGTAATCATACTAATGATGATACGAATAATACTAATACTACTAATGATACGAATCATAATCATACTAGTAATAATAATATTAATAATAATACTACTGATAATAATACGAATAATGATTATACGAATAATAATACTACTAATAATAATACTAATCATAATCATGGTAGTACTGCTAAGAATACTAATAATATTTATAATCAGATTAGTATCAATCATAATAATAAGCAGAATAAGAATAATACTCATAATACGAATACTAAAAATAATACTAACAGCAAACATCATACTAATAATAATACTACTAATAATAATAAATAAGAATAATAATGATAATACGAATAATAATACTAATAATACTACTAATAATAATAACAATAATAATAATACTAATAATAATAATACTAATAATAATAATCATACTAATAAGAAGAAGAAGAAGAAGAGGAGGAGGAGGAGGAGGAGGAGGAGGAGGAGAAGGAGGAGGAGGAGGAGGAAAACAGGAGGAGGAGGAGGAGGAGGAGGAGGAGGAGGAGGAGGAGAAGGAGGAAAAGGGGGAAATGAATAGGAGCAGGACGAGGCGAGCAGGGCCTGAGGCCTGGGAGTCCTGGACTTTTGGGGGGGCTGGTTCCTGGTACTGGGCCCTGGGAGGAGGTCCTCGGGGCTGGGTCCTGCATGGTCCCGGGGACCTCGGAATTCTGGGTCCTGGGGTGTCCCGTGGCCGAGCGTCCAGGAGGCTCGTTCGGCTCTGGAGGGGAACGGGGAAAAAAGGGGAGATGAGGATGGAGGGAGGAGGGGGGGAGGAGGATATGGTGTGGTAGCATACTTCGGCTCTTGGCACCATCTGAGGCTTTGTGTGGGCCCCGGGACCCCTAGGCGGGGAGTCGTATCTGACGCGGGACCCCCTCCTGGACCCCCTCCGTGACTCCCCCCGTGACCCCCCCCGGGACTCCCCCGGGACCCCCCCCAGGCCCCCCCCCCCCGGCAGGGAAGGGATCAAGGGAAGGGGTCTCCTTTCGACTCAATGACAACGTTGCTCTTGAGGGGGAGGCCCTGGAAAAGCAGGGGGGGAGCGGCGACGGGCCCAGGGAAGAGGGGGCCCAGGGGAAGGGGGAACGCAGGGACAGGAGACGACGGAGACTGCGACGAACGAACGACGGGAACGGACAAACCCTTCACAGACGCCGACACAGGGTCGGCGGTTTTTTCCCCACATCCGAAATGAGGTTCTTGTTTTCTCTGGACACCCCGCGCAGTCCTCCCTCACCCCCTCTTTCCTTCCTCGCCACTCACCCTCACTCACTCCTTCACTCACTCATCATCATCTTCATCCATCGCACACTCACTTTCACTCACACCCATTCAATCACACACTCACACACTCACTTCTCATCGTCACCATAATCATCATCACTCATTCACTCATTCATTCACTCACCATCATCATCCACTCACTCACCATTTCGTCATCATTTACCCCCTGGCATGACAATGGAGGATGTCTCAGGCGGGAACTTTGTCTGTGAGTGAATTGCGAGGAAGTCTCAGGCGGGAGCCTCCTCCTTAAGGGGTCCGCACTTCATGTTCGAATCCGAGGCGGGTCATCGGAAATTTGTAGCTGTCGTCACTTTTGGGCTCCCGAGGCTTGAATATGGCGGAAACATCAGGCGGGAACTTCGTTTGGGAGTGAATTGTGAGGAAGTCGCAGGCGGGAGCTCCCTCCTTAAGGGGCCCGCACTTCATGTTCGAATCCGAAGCAGGCCATCGGCATCCTGTACCTGTCGTCACTTTTGGGCTCCTCAGGCTTGAATATGGAGGAAGTATCAGATGGGAGCCTTCTAGTGAGTGAATTGCGAGGAATTCTCAGGCGGGAGCTCCCTCCCTAAGGGGCTCGCGCTTCATGTTTGAACCCGAGGCCGCTTATCGGCATCTTGTAATTGCTGTCAGTTTTGGGCTCCTCAGGCCTGAATGTGGAGGACGTATCAGGCGGGAGACTCGTCTGTGAGTGAATTGCGAGGAAGTCTCAGGCGGGAGCCCCTTCCCGAAGGGGCCCGCACCTCATGTTCGAATCCGAGGCGGGTCATCGGAAATTCGTAGCTGTCGTCACTTTGGGGCTCCTCAGGCTTGAATATGGAGGAACTATCAGGCGGGAGCCATGTGTGTGTGTGTGTGAGTGAATTGCGAGGAAGTCTCAGGCGGGAGCCTCCTCCTTAAGGGGTCCGCACTTCATGTTGGAATCCGAGGCTGTGAGTGAATTGCGAGGAAGTCTCAGGAGGGAGCCCCCTCCCTAAGGTGCCCGCGCTTCATGTTCGAATCCGAGGCGGGTCATCGGAAATTCGTAGCTGTCGTCACTTTTGGGCTCCCGAGGCTTGAATGTGGAGGAAGTACCAGGCGGGAGCCATGTCTGTGAGTGAATTGCGAGGAAGTCTCAGTTGGCACTTCCCGCCCTAAGGGGTCCGCACTTCATGTTGGAATCCGAGGCGGGTCATCGACATCATGTAACTGTCGTCACTTTTGGGCTCCTCAGGCCTGAATATGGAGGAAGTGTCAGGCGGGAGCCTCGTCTGTGAGTGAATTGCAAGGACGCCTCACGCGGGAGCCCATTCCCTAAGGGGCCCGCAGTTCATGTTCGAATCCGAGGCGGGTCAGCGGCATCCTGTAACTGTCATCAATATTTGGCTTCCCAGGCTTGAATATGGAGGAAGTATCAGGCGGGAGCCTCGTCTGTGAGTGAATTGCGAGGAAGTCTCATGCGGGAGCCCCCTCCCTAAGGGGCATCCTGTAATTGTCCTCCCTTTGGGGCTCCTCAGGCTTGAATATGAAGGAAACATTCGGCGAGAGCCTCGTCTGTGAGTGAATTGTGAGGAGGTCTCAGGAGGAAGTTCCCTCTTTAAGGGGCCCGCATGTCATCTTCGAATCCGAAGCAGGCCTTCGGCATCTGCAAGTGTTTTAGGCTCCTCAGGCTTGAATACGGAGGAAGTATTAGGCGGGAGCCTCGTCTGTGAGTGGATTCTGGGGAAGTCTCCGGCGGGAGCCCCCTCCCTAAGGGGCCCGCACTTCATGTTCGAATCCGGGCCGGGTCATCGGAAATTCGTAACTGTCTTCAGTTTGGGGCTCCTCAGGCCTGACTATGCAGGAAGTATCAGGCGGAAACCTCGTCTGTAAGGCCCGCGGGGTTGTGCCAACGGTCTGGCCCACGGTGTTGTCCCGACGGCCTGCCCCCGCGCCCCAGCGGCCCGCGGGGTTGTCCCAAAGGCATGGCCCGCGGAACTGTTCCAAAGGCTTCGCGAACCAGCCGTCGGCGAATGCGCGCGCGCTGGCCGAGGCGGCGACGGCGCCGAGAGACATCGATTTGCTTGCCCCGACCAGGGGGAAGGGGGGAACACATGGAGAAAAAGCAGGGGAAGGATGACGACTGACGGGGAAAGGATTGGGAGAGGGCGGCGATGATGAGGAGGTGGAGAAGGAGGAGGAGGAGGATAAATAGGAGGAGGAGAAGAAATAGAAGGAGGAGGATGATGATGAGGAGGAAATAGAGGAGGAGGAGGAGGAGGAGGAGGAGGAGAGTGCAGAGCAGAGGGCGAGAGGAGGGTGTCCGCCAGGGCGAGGGGGGAAGGGCTAAGGGCAAACTGAACAGATTTTCGTGCGGGGTCCTTCCGTCGGAGTAATTTATTTGTCGTCCAAAATCCGCCTATAGGGCGGCATGCCCGACCAAACCCGAAGGGTCATTTTTTTCTGACGCGTGATGCGCAGCTCGGAATAGTCGTCTCGGTCAATCACGTCGGCCATTGTGAGCGCGAAGACCTCCGCGGACCTGCGGGCCCCATAGAAGGCTGCGGCAGCCATGGCTGCGTCCCGCGCCCCAGCGAGCGTGCCGCAGGAAACGCGGGCATTCTAATCGACCGCCAGCTCTTCCCGCAACATCGGCCGTTTTCTGTGGGCCCGGCTGTGGTCTACTGAGTTTTTTGAGGTTTACCCAGAATTGGAAAGCCCTGTCCGTCCAAGCCCGCTCCATGACAGCAAGACAGCCACGCTCGACGTGCCAAGCCTGGACAGCCGCGCGGAGCGCCGTGATGCTGGTCCACGGTTTTCCGCCCATGCCGGCAAACAGGGTCATCAGCTTCACGTCCGGGCCCGCTGGTAACACGGACATGCCCAGCTCGAGTTCGACGGAACCCACGCCTTGGTGCAAGGCGTTCTGGTAGGGAGCACGCGCGCAAGATTCCCAGGCCCTGGCGATGCACTTGCGTATCGCTGCGGCCGCTGCCACCTGAGTTTCGCGAGTGCCTCGCGGCCCTGATGCGAGTTGTAATTCGGACGACGCAGCAGGGGGCCCCGCAAGGCAGTGCCTGCCGACGGAATCCACTGCCACGGGGGCCAGGCCTTGCACCGCGCGGCCGCGCGGCGCGCGCGCGGAGGCCTTTCGGGCGCGGCGTGGTGCTGCAGCACGCTGCGGGGGCCGGCCCGCCGCCGACCGCCGACGGGGCAGCGGGGCGCCGAGGCGCCAGTCCAGATGCCGTCGCCAAGAGAGCCTTGCCTGCGGCGATGGTCCGCCAACCGTCGCTGCCACGGGGGCGCCGCGATCCTGGGCGCCCTGCGCGCGGGAACCAAAATCCGCAACCTCGCGCGGCTCCCAGCCCAGGGCAGCTGCGCACGGCGCGGCGGGCGCCGCCAACAATGGGCGTCAAGTCCCGCTTCCGTGCCTGATCCATGTCTTGAGCCAGAACGGCTCCGGATCGACGCAGCGATGCCGACGGGAGACGGGGCGGAGCAGCCCCCCGCGTAGATTGAGGAGCGGCACGGGGGGCCGATAGCGCGCGTACACAGCGGAACTTATGCGTTTTCCCGTAAGATCAATGTAGTCAGTTCGTTGCCGCCGCCCCCAATGGAGCCAAATTGCACACTGAGAAGCGCCGCGCCCGCCGGTCGCGGGCGGCTGGCAGGGCGCGGCGAAGCAACGAGGGCATGCGTGGAAAATGATGCCCAGACAGCCTGTCCGCCATGTCAAGAACCGCCGGGTCTGCAACGACCGCGGCTAGGTCGGACCCCGCGCGTCAATGCGAGCAGTCAGCGGCCCATTGCCCGATGTCACGCGTGCGCCCTGCGCTGGTGCACTTGTGGCAGAGCAGCGCGCAGTCATTTTCAGCCCGCGACACTTTTTCAACGAACGCTTCTGCATGCCCCTGTTGGACAGCACGCAGTTCTTGCAGTGTTCCTTGAGCGCCGAATTCATAGCGGTGCGGCGGCCGTCATCAGTTGCGAACTGGCGGTCGATCCACGCCCGGACCCGCGGCGCCTTCTTCGCGCGTGAGAGCTGCGCGAGCTCGGCGGTGACGGCCTTGACGATCTGCTTCTTGCCGACGGCGTTGACCTGGGCGGTCGCCGCGCCATGGCCGGCCACGGGCCCGCGGCCGCCCGCGGAACCCCGGGCCGCGGCCTTGGCCGGCCGGTCGGTCGACTCCTGCGTCTGCAATTGGGCGTCTGAGCCCTGGCCGCCTCCCGCGGCCGGCGGGAGAGGCTCGCCCCGCGCGAGCAGCGCCGTGCGCCCCAGCAGCAGGTCGACGCCGAAGTCGTGCATCAGCATGTTCGTCTCCAGGGGGATGAGATCACGACCGTCAGCTTATCCCGCTGCTGCGCGGCCTTTAGCAGGCCGCGTTTCTTGGCTGACTGGAGGACGGCGCGCCGCTGCTCCGCCAGGCCTATAGAGAACTCGTCGGCCTCTGGCCAAAGCTCACCGCAGCGCCCGGGAAAGCAGCAAGACTTGGAGCTTATCCGGCCCCCCGCCGAAGGCTGTGAGGCACGGGCCTTTCTAACCGACTTTGCCCGCGTACTTCGCGGCCGTGGCCTGCTTCAAATTCTGCAGCTCCAAGTTCTCGGGGCGCGCTGCCGCCGGCGATGCCAGCCGTGGCCAGGCTAGCCGCGGAGCTGGCTAGGGCGCTCATCTCGCCCGGCCCCGCGACGGGCATTCTCCGCGCCCTGTCTCGCTCGGCCTGGGCATGTGCGCGGGGCGTGGCCCTGCGCGGGAACCCTTGGTCGCACTTGTCGTCGAAATCTGAAGGGATCCTGGCCGCCGTCGCGCCGTTCTCCCCGAGGCTGGCGCGCGCGTTTGCTTGGGTGGCCCCGAGGGCCGCGCCGCCTTGGTCGACGGACCCGTTGGCGGCTTCGGCAGCGGCGGCGAGGGTGGCGCCGTTGGGGGCCACCGCGGTGACCGAGGCCTCTTGGATCAGCTCCTTCACGCGCGCCTCGTTGGCCATGCTGACTGAAGGACAAGCGGCGCGCCGACCCCTGTCCACGCGCGCGGCAGCTTGAGACCAGGCGCTGCGATGGGGACGTCGGGGGGCAGCGTCGCGGCCGAGAGCGCGACGCGGGGGGCCACGAGCGCGCGCCCCGGAGACAGGAACATGAGAGGAAATGAAGACGCAATAGGAGACGACGGCGCGCTGGGAAAAAGCGGCGACAGGGGCCAGGCTACGCGGGCGCAGGCGATGCAAGGATCCTCTTTTTCCACGCGGATAGCGCAGCTGCCAAATATATCGCGCGCTTGCGTTTCCCAAAAGGGAAAGAACGGGCTGCCTGCGAGAGGTTCTCTGGGGCGGAGCCCGGCACTGCTGGGGGGCGCTGGGGGGTCCACGCGCGGCCCTGAGGTCCAAGCGCTGTCGGGCGCAGCGCGCGGAACGCAGCTGAAGCTCTGGGCCAGGGCCGCCCCCGGCTCCAGCGATGCAAAATTGACGTTCGGAACCAAGGTGCCCCGCTGTCTTCTCGGCAGCGCGCGACCGCTCGCAACCCTCTGTTTTGCGCCAGGGTGGCGTTCAAGTGATCAAACGTTGCTTGCAAGAGTGCTCTAGGCGGGCGCGCCCAACGCACCCGCCCCGAAGATCCGCTTCGAAGGCGGCGCGTTCTGGGAAACGCTACCTCGGCGCTGCGGCCGCGCGCCCCAGCCGGTCAGCGAACGGGCCCAGGGTGAACTCGCTTAGGCGTTTGTTTTCCTCGTCTCGCATCAGCGCCTCCCCGAGACACGCGCCGCGGAGCGGGCCCTGTGACCGCCGCCCGGCGAAGGTGTCATCGCGGGGCCCAGCGTCAGCGGCAGGGCTGCGCGCGCCGCGCAGGTGCCGGGGCAAAGCCCAACCGCATGCTTCGCGCTCTGCGCGCTCGAAGCGGGCTGCTGGCAGTTCTAAGCGCGGGATGTTCCCGTGCCGAATGCTCGCGCAATGCGTTCGACTCGGATCAGCATTCGCCAACCACGAAACAAATCAGATTCCGGAGCGAGACAGCGAACTGCGGGGCCACGATATATGCGCCACCATCAGGCGGCCATAGGAATGGAAATCCTGCGCGCGACCGCCCTGACAGGGGCGCCACTGCCTGCCCCCGCCAAGCGCAAGTACTTGCCACGCGGTCACGCGCGTTGGTGGCGGCCGCATTCGGTCGCGAATAATTGCCCCCGAGCCTAGGCGCACTATGGCAGCGCGATGATGGCGCATATAAAAAACGACGGCCCCCCGGGGATTTTATACACCACCCCGAAATATACACCACATGAATGTTGTTTTTGCGCGTGCAGCCGCGTGCCCAAATGACGCCGCACGCGTGACATGTAATTGCCACGAGATTTGACGCATCCTGCAACCCGCCGCCGAAACAATAATCCGATCAACCCCTAGGACAGAAAACCAGCCCGCGGTGGTGATGTACATGTGGGTCCAGGATGAACGACGACCCGCAGCACTTCCCAAGTGATGCTTGGGGGGCCATCGAGCGTGTCGATTGTTTGCGAATTCGCGGGCCGCGCTCCAGAGACGACGCGGCTAGACGCACAGAGGTGTAACTCCAACCGCCCTCGCCGGAAGCGTCCATTTCTACGGCCCGAATGGCACCGGCAGCCGCCATCTGCTCCCGCGCCGCGAATTCGTCCGACTTGTGGCCCCAATTCGGCAAAGAACCGCCATGATCGTGAAGGGCGCGGGCCGGCGGCGCGCGGATGGCATCGATGCGCCAGCGAAAGGACTGGCGGCTGACAGTGGAGAGCTGCACTGGCGGGTCCGCGTCAGGATTCTGCGACCGCGCGGAACAGACCCCCACCGCGCTGAGGTTGGCCCCGAGCGGATGCAGCCTCCAGCGCGCCTGGGGATAACTCTCCCCGGTGTGGTTTGCCAGTCCTGCTGTGGCCGCCAACCGCCGCGCTGTCAGGGTGCGCGCATCGTCAGATTGGATGGCGTCTGCGCAAGATTGACGGCATATCTGGCACTTCTCTCCGCTTCTTGTCACCAGGTCAACGCATTATCGAAAATTCATCGTATCCACGTTTGGCGCGTCGCAGGGGGCCAGATGCCAGTACGCTTACTGCTAATTGGGATGCCAGCTCGCAGGGAGAACTCAACGGCGCGTTCCAGATCGGACCAAGTGCTCCATTATGTGCCAGACGCCCCGAGAATGTCGACAAAGCCAACCAAATTGATTTGTTCGTTGGACAGGAGTAAACGCAACACCTCCTTGATTGATTTATTATTCAGACCAGGTGCTGGGGACAATCCGAAAGGCAGGAAGTTGTAGCGTCCAGAGTGCCGACGCGTCGGGTAATACAACCCATGGAAATCGGTATCATATGGGCGGGCTGTCCAATTGAAGAAACAATCCTCCAGATCTATTACGTACATGGAATATCCGTACGAAATGCGTGAAATTGCCAGATCCACGGTGCCATAGGACAACCCCACTGGTGTAAAATTGACATTCAAGCCACCCTGCCGCAATTCGAGAATGAGCCGTGCCTTCCACCGCTCCTCCTCTGGGGCACTGGCGGGTGCGCTTTCACTCGGTTTGAGAATGAGCGCGCGCGGATTCACATTCAGCTGACATGGCTTGGGCTAGTCAGGAGGGTAGACGACCGAGCATTTCCTTCGCATTGAGGGCAAAGGGTGAAATCTGAAATGCCGTTTCGATTTGTTGTCGAGGCTTGAATCTGCAAAAGGTGAATCACAAGACGGATTGATTCTCGAGGTACAAAAGCCCATATGGATTTCACCATGAGTTTTCCACCTTAAGAAAATGCTCAGGAAGAACACTTGACCAAGCTATTCCAAACGATTCCATTCTCGCTCGGCCCAACTAGCGTTCTGCGCTGAAGGCGGGTGGCTGGGAACGCTGCCCGCGCGGCAGCCGGACCCCCCCAGCCGGAGTCCAGCCCGCCAACAGTTTAACAGGTCCGGGGCGGCCCCCAGCCGCTGCAAAACATCAAGTGACGAACCAACAACACACACCCATACCCATAGGAGAGTCGGAGAGGGCTATGGGTGCATCTTGTCGGATGGGGGTCCCCGCTCGAACGGGAGCGTTCCCCTGGGTCCGACAAACCGCACCCATATCCATAGCCAGTTCTCCTCCGAACGACCCCCCTATGGGTATGGGTGTGTGTTGTTCGTTCGTCATCAAGGTTGAATGTGAGGCCTGGGAAATCTCTTGGGGCCCGCAACGGAGCGTTCTGGCGGCGAATGGGATCGCAGAGCTCGGCCAACCGGAGCGCCGAAGGTACCGGCATCGCTTGAGCCAAGCCGGTTACGGACCGCAGAGACAGGCACGTTGCGCGGTTCGCGCCCCCGTCGAGTGCGACGGAGTATCTTGGAGCTCTCTGGAATATTATGGAGCGCCTTGTGCTTGACTGCCTCAGCCGTCCAGTCGGCCACGCGGTTCCTCCTAGAAACATCTGTCCCCGTGGCGACTACCCATTGGAACGAAAGTTCGGGGGGGGGGAGAGGAAGAAAAGAGAACAGAGAAACGAAAACCAAGAGGCGGATCTTTTCCCGTATCCGACAAGGTTCCTCCTAGAAACATCCAAGCCTTCGGTGTAGTCCCATTGGAACACAGGGCCAGGCAGAGCTGACATAAGGAAGCGATGACCTAGAATGTTACGTTCCGGTCACCGCTTGTCCGGCGCATTCTGGCGCGGCGCCCGTGTCTAGTTGCGCGGCCACAAACAGAGGGCAGAGCTGACAGAAGCCGCCCCACGCCTGCGCCCAGAAAGCATGGGTCCGAGGCTGCAATTTATACATGACCACCGCCTGGAGGCTCAATTTTCGGGGACCCCCCCCCAGATGGGATGGGTCCCAGGGTCCTCGGGCCCCCCCCCCCCAGATGGGATGGGGGGGGGAGGAGGAGGAGGAGGAGGAGGAGGAGGAGGAGGAGGAGGAGGAGGAGGAGGAGGAGGAGGAGGAGGAGGAGGAGGAGGAGAGGAGGAGGAGGAGGAGGAGGAGGAGGAGGAGGAGGAGGAGGAGGACGGCAATGACGACGACGACGGCAATGACGACGACGACGACGACGACGACGACGACGACGACGACGACGACAACGACGACGACGACGACGACGACACCGACAACAACGACGACGACAACGACGACGACGACGACGACGCGACGGCACCAGCGGCGGCGGCGACGACGTCGAGCACCAGAGCTGTCAACATGACGCGAATCCCAGCCACACGCCGCGCCCACACCGCACCCACAGAGGGGGAGGGAGGGGGGGAGGAGGACCATGGCGTCACCCCGCACACACCCACAGCAACACACCACACCCACACCACATCCACAGGGGGGGGGGAGCCACCACGCCACGCCCACGCCCACAGGGGGGGGGGGGGCATCGCGCGGGGGGGGGGGCCGATGGCATTAGCATTAGGGGGGGGGGGCCCAAACCCTCGACCATATATTCGGGCCCCCGGGGGCGAACATGTATCCATATCCACTGCCCGTTGGGGCACCAGGACGGCGGTTCCCAGGCGGTGGGTATGGATAAATCCCCCTCGCCTCGTAATGGGGGATGGGGCGGGGGAGCCCAAGAGAGCCCTGGGAAAACAAAACACCCTCCACGAGCGCAAAGCCCCCTTAGAAGAGTCGATTCCATGGGGGCGGGGGCGCCTGCGCCCAGCAAGCATGGGGGATGGGCGGGAGGAGGAGGGGATTAGGAGGAGGAGGAGGAGGAGGAGGAGGAGGGAGGAGGAGGAGGGGGAGGGAGAGGAGGAGGAGGGAGGGAGGAGGAGGAGGGGGGGCCCAAGAGAGCCCTGGGAAAAAAAAACGCCCTCCACGAGCGCAAAGCCCCCTGAGAGGAGTCGATTCCACACAGGTCTGGGGCCCCGTGCCGAGGCGGTGAGCTCTCGTGCGGGCGGTGGGCCTCTCGCGGGGCCCCGGGGGCCAGGACTTCTTCGCAGCCAGGGCCTTGTCAGGTCCAGCGGGAGGGCACGCAGGAGGGAGAAGATCATATCAAGCAGTGGCGAAGCGTCCTGGCGTGCGGATAGTGGTACGAAGCAGTGTTCTAAGAACCTTGTGTGGTTTCCACGAAATGTTCTCAGAGCATTTCTGGCTGGAACTGCCTTGTTTCAACACATCGGGTTTATGCTCTGAGAACGTTTTTTTGTTAGAACATTTTTGGGTTCTGAGAACATGTCGTGGCAGGCCTGTAGGGATGCCGGGACGGTCGGTTCCTGCTCAATCAGAGGAGGAGAAGGTATCCATACCGCCACCCCTCCCGTGCTTTCGCCTTCTTGAGGCCTCTTGGGACGCCCTCGTCGCCACCGCTGGATCCGCCTCGAGGTTCTCGTCGGAGCGCACCCTAGGAGAGGTCCGGGGAGCAGCGGTATCGGTACCGTTCTGGGTTTCCCCAGAAGATGTCGGCTTCTTCGTCGACGCTCTCCTCCCACGTCGGCGGAGGGGCTCAGAGCTGCTCGGGCGCGCGGAAGGGCACGCAGTCGTCATCGTCGTCGTCGTCGTCGTCGTCGTCGCCGCCGTTGTCGTGGTGGACGTGGCGGTGGTGGTGGTGGTGGGCGTCGTCGTCGTCGTCGTGGTTGCTGTCGTCTTGTTCGTCTTCTTCGTCTACGTTGTCGCCCGCGGCCGCAGTTTTCTTGGGCGCGTCAGATGCTCTGGTTCGTCGAGGTCGCCGTTTACGGGGCCCTGCGAGGCGAGAGTGCGGTCGGGAACTTCTGCTTATATCAATTCACTGTGGTCCGCAGGAGGCACATAACGTCACCACCATGCCTGGCCAGGGCCATCCTCTGATCTTGCTTGGTGATTGCGCCCTGCTTGCCGAGACCAGGAGCGTCCATGTACCATCCTAGGGCCAAGTATGGCCCTGGCAGGGCATGGTGTTGGCGTCTACAATCAGGACGTTCTGCTTAGCGTGTCGCGGAGCCAGTTCTGGCCCACCGCGCTTCAGCGCGACACGCTAATCGCGTCCCGGCCTCCAAACGTCAACGCCTCGAGCTCATCCCAGCCTCCTGCCCCGCCCCCGCGAAGTGGAGCGACGCCCTATTTCCGCTCGCAGGGTACTGCGCGTCGCTGGGGCCGCCGCCGCGGCACGCGGCGCACGAGTCCCTGGCCGTGGCTTTCCCAGCGGACAACGTGGTCGGCGCCGAGGCGAGGTGCACCTTCCCTGTCCTGCCGCCCCCCCCCCCCTCCCCCCCCCCATCCATCGGAGGATCCTTGCCAAGTCCGTGCGCAGTGGGTCCGCACGCACGCAGTGCTCGGCCTCCGCCCGGGCTTGCTCCGTCTGGGCCTGGACGCCCCTCCCCCCCCCACCCACGCGCAGCAGCGGGGGGGGGGGCGAGGAGGCCGGCGCGCACGACCTGCACCACGACGGCCCATCCACCAATGGGTGCCAAGATTTGGCGAGACAGGCTTTTGGGGGGTGCAGTGGGGGCGCGCATCAAGAAACCATGCGCGTCTGATTTCGGGGTTCGAACCGCTCTGGCTCAAGCCACCTCGTGGCTCAGCGGTTCGAAGCCAGGCCTTTTCATCCGTGCCCTGGCGCACTCGCACCCGTCTGCGCCTCGCCGCCGCATTGGCGGTCTGCGCCCCCAGCTGGTGCGACAGCTGAGCATGCCGCTTGGTCCCAGCGCCGCCGCCTTGGGCAGCGGTGCCGCGCCTGCCGGCTCTGCGGTTCCCTTGTCCTCTCCCGCGACGCCTGCCTGGGGCGCACGGGGCCCGGCCACGACCACCCTGGTCGGCGCCCTCGGGCCGCCCAGGCCGCGCTGGGCGGACTGCTCCAGCGACGACGAGGACTCGTGCCCGGACTGGGTGGGTGGAGGCGGCGCGGGCCAGGGCTGCTTCCGCCCCCGCCCGAGCGTCGGCGGCAGCAGCGCGTCAGCGAGCACGGCGGCCGACGACAAGAGCGACAGCGAGAGCGAGCGGGGCGGCCTGGACTGCGGCACTCCCGGGGGCGGGCTCGCCACCGCCGGGGTCTCTGCAGGCGAGGCGCTGTCAGCCCCGCCCGTGAACCTGATGCTGCAGAACATCCCGAGCCGCGCCGGAGCCGAGGCCATCGCTGGTGCTCTGCAGGAGTTCGGCTATGCCGGGTGCTTCGCGTACTTCTACCTGCCCTGCAAGCCGCGGGACGGCCTGAACCGCGGGTACGCCTTCGTCGGCTTCGAGGACGCCCAGCAGGCGGACCTGTTCCGCGCCGCCGTGCACGGCCAGCGCCTCCCGGGCAGGGGGAGCGCGAAGGTCGGGCCGGACGAAAGGGAGGAATAGGGAAAGGGGGGGGGTACGAAATCTGCTGCAAGCAGCTGGTTTCGGCCCCACCGCCGGGCCCATTCCCTGATACATGGGCGCCTCCCGGCGCCGGGAGGCGCCGGGAAATCCAGCTACGTGAGCTGATTCTCAACCCCCCCTGTGCGATCCCCCCCTTTCGCCGGGCCCGAGAAGGCCCTCAGCGTGGACGTGGCCAGCTCTCGCCACGGCGTTTCCGAGCGGCTGGGCCTCGCGCTGTGCAGCGAGGCGGTGCAGACGGAGTGGGGCCCGATCTTGGCGAGCCGGGGCGGCATCCGGCGCTCGGCCCCGCCGCAGTAGGGCCATGGGCCTCTCTCCCCCGGGGCCGTGGGGCCCCGGTGGCGCCGTGAAGGCCCACTGCAGCGGCAACGGGGCAGCTTCCTCCTCCTCCTGCTCCTCCTCCTCCTGGTCCTCCTCCTCCTCCGCCTCCTCCTCCTCCTCCTCCTGCTCGTCCTTCTCCTCCTCCTCCTCTTGCTGCCAATGCCAGCAACGGGCTAAAGTCGGGTATAGCCAGGACCCCAGGTAAGGGGACCCAGTTAGTAGTAGGCCCCCGGAGACCCTCACTTGGCCAGAGTCACTAAACCAGGTCTGCCGTGGCTGGTGTTTTTTCGGCTGGCGCCAGTTCTGGTCAGTGGGACGGGGCGGGGTGGGCGTCCCCCAGTACACATCACTAAACCAGGTCCCACGAAACCCAGTTCTGCCAACGACCGACAAAGCACGGCCGACTTTGCATCTCGAAGGTCCATTTCCGTTGTCAACTTGCTTCAAGCACGCGGTAGTGCACGAGAGCGGTAACGATTGAACGCGGTTCTGCGTGTTGGTGCACCTCGCAGGTGTTTCTCCCTCTCCTCCCCCCTCTTCCTCGACCCTTCCCTTTCGTGATCCTCTTCCTTCTGGCCAGAGTTTCGAACCCAGGTCGCGTTTGGAGAGCGCAACCTCGCGCGGCGCCACGAGCTGCCACGAGGAGATGTTGTCACCTCGTCGTTGAGAAACACTGCGCAGCCTCGCACGGAGCCGCGAGACAGATGACTTAGCACACGCCAGGCTGTTACTCGCGGGAGGTCTTTAAATCTGCACGGCCCCCCCCCCAAAGCTCAGGCTGAGCAATTTTTGAGCCCGGAAAACGCTTTTGTTTGTTATGGGGTTGATTCATTGGCTGACGCCGCACCGCCTGGGGCGGCAGTACGAGTGAAAAACGGAGCTTGCGGAACGCGCGCGACTTCTGGGGAATCTTGGGGTTTCATTTTCTTGGGAGTGCGTCGGGGGCAGTTGGTGGATCGCGGTTCTGCTCTTGGGCTTCTCTAGGCTCTCCTGGCAGCCAACATTGAGGCCTCTTGGGGGCCGTGTTGAGGCCTCTTGGGGCCTCTTTTGGTCCTCTCGGTGGCCTCGTATGAGCCTCTTGGGGACCTCTTGGCGCCTCCTCATGTTTTTGGGGGCCGAGTGCTCGAAATGTTCATTCGGGTTCTCCTTTGGGCCTCCTCTTGGGGCCGTCCTGAGGACCTCCTGGGCCGTTTTGGAAGCTTCTAAGGCCGTCTTGGGGCTCTCTTGGGCCGCATTGGAGCCCTCTTGGGGGCCTCTTGGGCTATGGTGGGTCGATCTTCAAGGCTTCTTGGGCCGTTGTAGGCCTCGTGAAAGCTCATGAGGCGAATGCGCTAAAAGTATACGCTTCCCCTAGGGAATGGGACGATGTTTGTTTCTGGAGGGCCTCTTGGGACGCCTCTTGGTGGCTTGTTGGGGCGTCTTGGGGGCCTCTGGGGCCGTTTGGAGGCAATCTTGGGCGTCTTGGAGCGATCTTTGGCGACTCGTAGCCCTCTTGGACCGTCCGGGGGGCCTTTTGGCTCGTGTTGGGCCCCCTGAGGCTCCAAGGGTGCGGCTGGCACTTTTGCCCCCCCCCCCCCCCCCCCCACATCCAACCCGGCCGCACCGGGCTACCGGGGGAGGGGTTTGGGGAGGTGGAAGCATCTCACACGCCGTGACCCCAAAGGGTCGGCGGATTAAAGACCTGTCGCGATCACACACTTTCACATGCAGTCGTCGCCCCGGGAGGCTTGTGGAGCGAGTCCTCATTTGAGGTGGGAATGTTTCTAATTACGCGGCCTGTATGTTTCCGAATTTTGATTTAGGCAGGTCAGGGAAGGCCAAGCCCCTCGCCGTGAAGTTGGTTGACGATTGCGTCGGCACAGCTGCTTTGGACGCAGCGCGCTGGTCGCTGCTGCTGACCACATCAGGCCACGCGGTTCAGTATGTTTGGCGTTCGACCCATTCCGCCACACACGCCCAGGTTGTCGGTCAGAGGCCTCGTGGATGCCCGTGGGGATCCCTTGTAATCGCCCATTCGCCCAGGACTGCGGACGAAGAACTGCAAGGAACCTGAGGACATTCCAACTCGTGCCTCAGAGTACGGTGGCGGATATAGTAGATGTAGTCGCTTTGTGTTGCAACTGTGCCGTTTTACGCTGCGGCAGCGGTTCTGCTCGAGTTTTCTGCTAGCGCTTTCCAGTGCGCGCGGAAGTCACTTTCTTGACATCGTGGTGGAAGGAAACTGTTATAGTCTTCTGCCGTGGTGTCTTCTGTGCATGTTCCCCCATGAAGGTGTGCGGCGGCTCGCGAATGAGCATTATCGATGTTCGCTGGTGTGTCCCGCAGGATACTTTGTTTGCGCGCCGCATCATGTAGAGCGGCCTTCGCAGACACGACCAGACTGCAGAGATGTCTCATTCGCAGTTCGTCACGATGACACCCTGCGCGACCTGCCTGCACCAGACGTGTGTTTTCAGATTGGGGGAGGGGGGGCGAGGTTGACGTGAGGGCGGAGGTTGGAGGAGGCAGGCACGGCAAAGCATGCGAGTGTGCGGGTATTTTTGTTGCGTCGATCACGTGTGAGCGCTTTTCAATGCGGCTTACATTTCTGAACGCACCATTTCCACAGGCAGAGGAAACCATTTCTCGGTCTCTGCCTACGGTTCGTTCGCTTACCCCGCAGAAGGTCCACTGTGCGTGTCGCCTTACCACCGACATGGCAGTTTCAATCGGATATGTCTTCGTCGGCGAAGGAATATCTGAGGTCACGGGCTCATGGCGCCCAGCAAACTTGATGTTTGTTCGGCCATTTACAAGGGATATGTTACAATGTCAATCGCGCCCTGCTTGCCTATCCGCAACGGTCGCGCCGCAGTCTAGGAGTCTCTTGAGAGTTCCAGCATTCAGTGACTGCCGCGTGGAGGGCGACTGTAGAAGGATGGGTGGACCGTTCGACGGGTAATGTGCCTTTGCTGATGCGATGCTTTCCTGCTTGGAGATTGTCGTGCCAGCCGGCGCCGAGATAGGTTATGGTATGGTATGGTATAGTATGGAATGTTATGGTGTGCTGTGTTATGCTATGCTATGTTATGTTATGATGTCCCATATCGAAATAACTGGTGGGGTTGTTGCTGCTACTTCGAGCGCGCCGACTCCTCACCTTCCTCCTCCTCTTCCTCGTCATGGTATGTCATGTTGTATTCCCCACAGCCAGAGGATGGGGTTCTTGTTATTCCCCATCTCCAAAGGATGGGGTTCTTGCTATTCCCGACATCCAAAGGATTGGATTCTTGTCATTACTCCGACCGCGCCAACTTCTTCACACACACACACGCACCCCTCCCTCGTCCCTCCTCCTCCTCCTCCTCCTCCTCCTTATGCTATGTCATCGTATGTCATGGTATGGTATGCTATTATGTTGTGTTATGCCATGGTGTATGATGGATATTGGATGCTATGACATGTTATGTAGGGTTGTGTTATGGTGTGGCATGGTATGTTATGTTACGGTATATTATGATATGATATGACATGCTATGCTATGCTACGGTATGATCAGCTATGCTATGCCGTGCTGTGTTATGAAATGGTATGTGGTGCTATGGTGTGATTATGTTGGTGATGGCGACGGTGGTGGTGATGGTGGTGATGATGCTGACGATCACGAGAACGATGACGATGGCTAAGATGATGATGATGTTGATGATGATGATGATGAGCATGATGATGGTGATGATGATGCTGATGCAGATGCTGATGCTGCTGCTGATGATGATGAGGATGAGGATGAGGATGAGGATGAGGATGAGGATGATGATGATGATGATGATGATGATGATGATGATGATGATGATGATGATGATGATGATGATGATGATGATGATGATGGTGGGGCAAGTTCTGAGGATGTCTCGAGCGAGGTGCGGGTGTCAGCATCTCCAAGGAGGAGCCGCCGCCAGGGGGTATTGCACTCCTCCGTTCGCGCCAAAATTGTGGGGATGTCTCGAGCGGTTTGCCTGTTTGCGTGCGCAACATCCACCGCTTTCTGAGCAGTCTTGTAGGATGTGTCGAGCGAGGCGCTCATTTTCGCTCCCAAGGCGGGGCCAGAATTTGAGGATGGCTCGATCGATTTGCTTGTGTTGGTGGCCAGACTCGTGGGCACGGATTCTCCCCAGGATGCCACAGGAGGCTCCAGGAGGCCCCAGGAGGCCACAGGAGGTCCCAGGAGGTATCAGGAGGCCACAGGAAGACTCAAGAGGCCGCAGGATGGCCAAAGTGGCTCCAGGAGGCCCCAGGAAGCTCCAGAAGGCTTCAGGAGGCTCCTGGATGCTCCAGGTGGCCACAGGGAGCGCCAGGAGGCACCAGGAGGCCACAGGGAGCGCCAGGAGGCACCAGGAGGCCCCGGAAGGCACCAGGAGGCCCCAAGAGGTCCCAGGAGCAGGAGGCATCATAAGTCCGTATGCTCCTATAGAGTGTACCTCCCCTGGAGCACGAATCCGTTGTGTTTTACTGATGTTTCTATAGGTTGACCTTCTCCTATGTATCCAATCCTAAGTGGTTCACGTATCTTCCGATGGAGTGGGCCTCACCTGGGGCACGAGTCTTTTGTGTTTTACTTGTGTTCCTATAGATTGTCCTTCTCCTGCGGCTCCAACCCGCAGTGTTTTATGTACGTCTGTCCTGCGTATTGGGCCTCTCCTGGGGCACGAATCCTCCCCAGGAGCCAGGAGGCCCCGGGAGGCCACACGAGGCCCCAGGAGGCCTCAGAAGGCCACAGAACGCCCGAAGAGGCCACAGGAGGCCCCAAGAAGCTTCAGGAGGCCCCGGGAAGCCCCAGAAGGTTGCAGGAGGCCCCAGGAGGCCCCAGGCTCATGCGCAGAGGCGCGCTCGTAGTACTGAGACTCATTCACACCCCAACTCGTTCACAGTTAAATTCACTCCCAGACCGTCAAAACTCAAGCCCGTTTATATTCGAAATCTCTGCGCGGAGACACTCACGG